CAGGTTTATTTTCAGTCGAAGAGCTAAACCAACAACAATAAACTTGCAGAATTAAAGATTTTTTAAATACAAAAATAAAATTATTATTGATGTTGTTATTATAGGGTTGAACGCCATTTTTCAGCACAAAATACATAGCATGCCAATATTAATGGTGGAGGAAGAATCCTGGAAAAGTTATAAAAGCACCCCCGGACTCACGATAAGCTACTGGCAGGCTTTCTCACTTACCCACGTTAGCTGAGTCTGGACTCGAACTCACTCAGATAGAGTTGAGATGGATGTGATCCGTCACTGTCAGCGCTTTAGACCACAAGGCCACTCGGGCCCCCACAAAAAAAAATTGTCGAGCATGATACGTTTGTAACCCGTACCAGCATCGGGGCCTTGAGTGACCGAGTGGTGTAAAGCGCTTACTGTAATGGATCACTGCCATCTCAAGTCTGTCTTCGTGGGTTCGAGTCTCTGGCTAGGCCAATGTGGGTATGTGAAAAAGATTACCAGTAGCTTCTCTTGTGCGGTGGTTCTTTCGGGGATTTTTTTAGGGTTCTTCCTCTATTATTGGTACTGGCCGCCATGTATCTTGAGCTGAAAAATGGCGTTAAACCATACAACACCACAACAGCAGCAACAACGACAACAACCTTACATGTATCAAACATTCCGACTGGTGTGCAAGCTGTTAACGAAATTATGCATGGTCCCAAAGCAAGACGAATACCCTATTTGATTACTGAGTTAAAGCAAGGCAGTCTACGCGTCAGCGATTTTTGTATGATCACATTAGCTTTTGTTACTGGGCATGCGAAATATAACTTGACATCGGTTTCTGGACACCTAATTGAATTGTTTTAATCTGGATATATCAATACAATGAGCGCCACATTGTCTTTGTAGACAGTCCTCTTCTTTTAATGTTAATGTGTAAAGTCTGACATTATGCATGGAACCAAAGTTAACCTGTTTTCAATCAATCAATCAGTCAATTGAGAGAGAGAGAGAGAGAGAGAGAGAGAGAGAGAGAGAGAGAGAGAGAGAGAGAGAGAGAGAGAGAGAGAGAGAGAGAGAGAGAGAGAGAGAGAGAGAGAGAGAGGCTAACAAACAGCGAGGGAGACAAAGGAAGAGAAAGAAAGAGAAATGAGCCTAATTTTTGAAACATCATCGACTTTCTCAATGCTCAGTCTTAATTTTGAAAACAAAATTACATATTATTATGAGACACTATTGCAGCAAACGTTTATAACAGCAGTCACGAAAATGGCCACATCTAACCAAATGCTGCTAACAAATGCATACCGTGAAATAACTGTTTGCGTGGTGTTTCTACTTTCTTAACGTACTTATTTTACCGTTGATATATAACATTTTCCTGTCTCCGGTGAAATTTTGGTAATTACTCAGACACATGCATTATCAGAAAGAAGCTGCGATAATTTAGGAACATTTGTAAGTAATGAGAAATACTGGTCTCTTGGCCACGTGGGGATGAATGACTGATCTTTCAAGGGCAGTCTGATCTTCATGGATAAGATCTAAGTATGTTTTGATACTAAGATAATAACCTTTATATTGCATGCATTATAGCAAAATCCTAATCTGAGGTTTCACACACACACACACACACACACACACACACACACACACGCACACACACATATATACACACACAAACATACATAAGAACGCGAAACTACCATTAAGGCAAATAAACACATTGAGAGCGTCTAATATTAACAAAGTATATATTTCAGATAAATATTCTACAATCGTTTCTTGATTATAATTTTTAATACAGGATTAAATAATTTCTTTGTGCTAAAAGGTACTATCTTTAAGAGAATGTCAAACGTTCTTACACGGTAAGTTTAAAGTTTCATAAAAATTAACGCATCTCTTACCGTTTCATCTTACGGGAAATTTAGTTCGTCATTAGACATAAAGACAATAATCGATTATTTTTAACTGCTATTGGTCCTAAAATATCTATCTCTGATCAGCTGGCCATTTTAGATTATGCTAAAGGCGAGTATAATCGTTTTGCGGGCGCGAAAATTAGCGCCATATTGTAACATCCCTTTGAGTTTACTTGCCTTTTGTAAATTTTTCGAAGCTTTACGAGCATATGATCAGAGTTTTCTTTGTGTTCTATTTCAAATCTGTGACGTGAAAATCATCGAACAAAATGGAGATTAAAACTTAAGATATAGCCGTGTTTAAGATGAAACATTAATTTCGTAAATCACTATGCATATTAATTTTTATAGACATGTCGTGTAGTTGATTGGTCGACTTCAAGGCACAGAAAAAGATTCTATTGAGATTATAAATCTATTGATTTGGGTCATGAAGTTACTAAGCGCTGTTTTATCCATTTTACGTTACTGAAACATAACAGATCGACATAATGCGGGAAAATACTTGTCTTGACAGAGATCTCATCATCACGGTCACTAAGATAAGTTCAAGATTACTAAAACTCTCGATGGATGTTTTTTTATTTAAAAAAAATGATTTAAGCCCTATTTGTTTTTGAAAGAGAAAAAATTCTGGTGTTTATGAAATTTATTGCAATACTCGCTCGTATTAAGCTGCATGTATGTCTGTTTTTGCATGGATTTACCTTACTTGGATATACATAAAAGTTTAAATACCATAAGATAATTAATTAGTGTAATAATTATGCACGACAATAGAAATTAAAGACCGCTCTGGAGGCCTAAATTGTTCTGAGCGCCCGTCTCGGATATGGGAGGTTGCGGTTTAGAACCAAGGCCGAATTATACCAAAGGCTTAATTTTGAAAATGATACTTGCAGCTGCGTCACATTGCATAAAGCATTAAAAGGTTTGAGTTATTGCAGGTGTCAAGATAATGTGGGGGCACCGAGTGGCCTAGTGGTCTAAAACGCTCTCCGTTACGGATCACTGTCACCTCACCTCTGTCTGCTTGGGTTCGAGTCTAAGATTCGGCGAATTTGGATATGTGAGAAAGTTAACAGTAGCTTATCGTGGGTCGGTGATTCATTCCGTGGATATCCTGGTTTCTTCCTTCACCATTAATACTGGCCGCCACGTATAGCCTATCGTGTGCTGAAAATGGTGTTAAGCCTCAGAACAACAACAACAACAACTAACAGAATTAAGAGCACACAAGAACATGTCAAGAACAATTTTAAGAGGAAGAAGGGTAAGTAAAAAAAGTATGTTGTTGATAATGCAGGAGGTGAAGAGAAACATTTACCGAAAATTGTTTACTTCTCTTTTCCTGGTCGTACTACTTGTCACTTTTGCCAAAATATCACTACTCGATGCCACCCATTTGATTCCTGAACAATAGCCATAAAGAATACCATGCGTACGTATTATCGAAGTCGACAATTGATACAAAATTGGCAATAGAAACTCAAGCTGACACTGAGAGAAACGGCATATACATGTCTCGAGGTGAAGAAAACGACATTGCACCAACAAACTGATATAGTCTTGTAGGCCGATCTCCCAGTGTACGCCTATTGCAAGAACCGAGTCACCCCACGGAAACAATTAAAACAATTACACGATGTTGCTCAACACACCGCGTGCACACTCATGGAATCTGTCTCTGAAGCTACGTGATTGTTGCTATATTTAATACACAACGTTTCCAAAATTACTGGAGATAATTACTACTACATTACGGTTGTGTTCTGGAATGAATGCGATATGGATTAATTAGAGACAATTTTAGGAAAATTTCTTTGAAGAGCATATTTTAATCGCTCTATAACTTCAAATAACATTTTTCGCATACTGCGTCCCATCATTAACCTAAGTGATAAAAAAATGGGGTCTATGAACGTGAAAAAACTACTCATGATTGAGGACGAATTTAACTTTTGGCCAAGATTTTATCTCTTGAACATCTATCTCTAGGGTAAGTACAATTATATTAAGTATTAATACATTTGAAAAATGTTGTTTTAATTGTTTATATTTTTGTTTCAAACACTTTATGCAATATTTAAGTATTTGCAACTTGATACTTTCATAAACTAACCCAGTCATATATAAAATTAAAACTGTCAAAGGTTAAAGTAATATGTTACAATAAACCAGTCCATTTAACAAAATAACAGTTGCTATGAAATGTTATCTTTATTTCTTCAAAGATGTACAAGGGAAAAAAAGGTTGACATATTTCATTTATTTCATTGCAAAGTTAAAATTTTTCCTGTTGCTTACCTGTTGCTATTTTGGTAGCATGGTTACACACACATACACACACACACACACAGAAACACACACACACATGAATCCTCCAGCAATATCATCACCGCAACAATCGTCTTAGATTGGATTAATCGTACAGGATTCTCTTTCAACCATTCCAGAAACACGGATCTGTAGATCATCAGCACTGCGCCAGTTTTATTTAAAGTGTCATACCAGTGTAGATAAAAAAAAATAAATAAACTTCATATTATTTGAATAGAAAATAAATTCTGGAACCGGTATTAAAAAAAAAAGATGGAAAAAATTCGCCATAATAACTGAAAAATAAGTAGTGTGTAGATCGCCTGACGTCATATTTTGAAGACGCGCATTACTTCCGTTTCTATCAAAACATAAACAAAGTACGTGTTCCGTTTCATATTATTTAGTTTCAACAGTTGTATCATCACAATCATGCCAAGAGGAGATCGTGAAGGTACAAGTACGGGCAGCGAGCTTGGTCAGGTGTGTTACAACAAATTGTGGGTTTTTGAATCATTCTTTCCTGAAAGACCAAGCACTTCGTCGTAGGTGGACAGATTTTGTAAAAATCAAAAGAGCAAACTGGTATGGTCCGACCCAGTTTTCTGCCCTCTGCTCCTTTCGTTTCACATCAAAATGCTTTCCATTTAGGTATAGATTTGTGGTTGAGCATACAGGTAGGTCAGCAAAGAAAGGTCAAGCTCAGTGACGATGCTGTCCCTTCTATCAACTCTGTGAAGGAAACTACCAACCCATGCCATGGTAAATGACTGTTCCGGTGGCCTAGTGGTTAGAGCGTTCGCCTTGAAAGCTGAAGATCGTGGGTTCTTTCCCCGGTTAAGTCATACCAAAGACTTACAAAAATGGTACTAACAGCTGCCTCGCTTGGCGCTCAGCATTAAGAGATTAGTATTAGGACTGGTCGGCCTGGTGTCAGGATAATGTGACTAAGTGGGACATCATGCTACATGTATGCGGCATGATGCCCCAGTGCTATACATCTCTATAAACTGCCACACAGCAGACATCGTAGCGATATGACTGAAAAATCGTTAAACCTACGTTAAAAATCATAATCGCATTGCATGGCATAATAGCACCAAGGTAAATGTTATCAAAAGCTTCAACGCCAAAGCATCAACTGTAAGGGATTGAAATCATGTCACCATCATCAGAATTAACTTGCCAAGTGTCACCTTCAAAGAATATAGGAAGAGGCTATTCAATTATTGCTGAAAATGCTTCAATCGGAATTTTTACATTCATTTTTTTTAATATATATATTCTCATTCTCATTCACCAAGAAATGAACTGATTAAATGTAGATACACTGTTGTGGCACTTGAATACGTCGACCAAAACAACGCGTCGTCTATTTTTACATTAGTACATATGTGAGAAAGCTTGCCAGAAGCTTCTCGTGGGTCGGTGGCTCTTTCCACGGATTTCAAGGTTTCTTCCTCCACCATTAATACTGGCCGCCATGTATAGCCTATCATGTGCTCAAAATGGCGTTAAGCCCCACAACAACAGCAACAACAACAACAACAACAGAACACATTTTCCTCTCAAAAACTTTTGCTTGAACAGTTCGGATGTAGACCGTTCTCCTGTTTGCAGTTCCAGAAGTTTTCGAGTACTTCAGCAAGATGACTTTGGTCAGAGACTACAATGAGTTATACGGTGATCGTTAGATTACTAAAACTAAACGTTCTACCGCCGTTTCTCCCACTAATCTCTTGTATTTGCATTTCAGAAGCGCACTCTTAAATAGTATCCATCTCTTTTCTTTCCACTTTAGGGATACATCGTATTGTATCAATGATGGTTATGGGCCCGACAAATCTCAAAACAAATCTGGTTTTCACTCGTAAATCACACAAAAATAAATTGTTTTCAAAGTCTCTCAAGCCTATGTCATCAACTGTAGTCAAGTTCAAAAATTTCCAACCTCTCGTCCAATTACAGAGAGAGAGAGAGAGAGAGAGAGAGAGAGAGAGAGAGAGAGAGAGAGAGAGAGAGAGAGAGAGAGAGAGAGAGAGAGAGAGAGAGAGAGAGAGAGAGACAGACAGACAGACAGACAGACAGACAGACAGACAGACAGAGATCCGCGGATCAAGCCTATGTCATCAACTGTAGTCAAGCCCAGAAATCCAACCTCTCGTCCAATTACAGAGAGAGAGAGACAGACAGACAGACAGACAGACAGATCCGCGGATCAAGCGTATGTTATCAACTGTATTCAAGCCCAGAAATCCAACCTCTCGTCCAATTACACAGAGAGAGAGAGAGAGAGAGAGAGAGAGAGAGAGAGAGAGAGAGAGAGAGAGAGAGAGAGAGAGAGAGAGAGAGAGAGAGAGAGAGAGAGAGAGAGAGAGAGAGAGAGAGAGAGAGAGAGAGAGAGAGAGAGAGAGAGAGAGAGAGAGAGAGAGAGAGAGAGAGAGAGATTTAGTGGTATAGGTATATCTACATGTCTAAACGTCTCAGCGGTGCGATAAATCCATGATTTTTATCTTAAGACCAGCCATTTTATGTGCTAGTTTTACAGCATCAGTACAGAAGTACAAAAAACATGCAACATGTTTGGAGCAGTCCCTTTGGTGCTTGGATGTGTCTTGAAGTAAATATAATACGCTTACAACCATACATGGTTATATGGAAGGAAAATGTTAGACTGGTGCTTGTATTATTATTATTTTTATTATTATTATTATTATTATTATTATTATTATTATTATTATTATTATTATTATTATGATTATGATTATTATTATTATTATTATTATTATTATTATTATTATTATTATTATTATTATTATTATTATGATTATGATTATTATTATTATTATTATTATTATTATTATTATTATTATTATGATTATTATTATCATTATTATTATCATCATTATTATTATTATTATTATTATTATTATTATTATTATTATTATTATTATTATTATTATGTCATAACAGCTAATAAATCTTTAACTTGCAGAAAACTAACACTACAACTCACACTCGCGATTTCCTCTTGTTACTAACCTGGAAACAAAAGAAGAAGAAGAAGAAGAAGAAGAAGAAGGAGAAGAAGAAGAAGAAGAAGAAGAAGAAGAAGAAGAAGAAGAAGAAGAAGAAGAAGAAGAAGAAGAAGAAGAAGAAGCTGATCTAACCAGATGTCACTTAACCTTAATACTGTTTCAATAAACATGCTAATAATAATAATAATAATAATAATAATAATAATAATAATAATAATAATAATAATAATAATAATAAAAAAAATAATAATAATAATAATAATAATAATAATAATAATGATGATGATGATGATGATGATGATGATGATGATGATGATGATGATGATGATGATGATGATGATGATGACGATGACGACGATGATTTAAAAAATAGAACAGTTGAAATATGTAAATGTCGATAACTGTATTTCAACAGGAAATGGTTGAATACAGTGACTTATCTTTGTTTTCAATGAGCGCCCTGCCTGACTGTAAAGCGATATGTATGATAGCGAAAGATAGCCGTGTTCCCAGCTTGAGATAAAGTTACCTTTGGTAACAATCTGATTCTGCACAGCTGTATTCTATAGACATCTGGGCCGATGAAAGAGAAATGCTGAATTGAATTTAATCTAGCTCATCTTCTTTGTAATAAATAATGGATCTACTGACGACGTGAAGGTAATTATGGCATCCATCATACGATAATGTAACAGTGCATTAAGACAGACAATTTAGGCAGTTATCGTGAAGTTCGGGTCAGAAATTTTTCAAACTAAATATTCAGGATAAATGACTCAGAACCAAAGGGTAAATATCGTGGAATTAGCCGAATTAAGGTAAAGCAGAAACACATTAGCTCGCGAATCACTGAAATATTTAATTTTTTTCTTAATTTATGCTAACACTAAATGAACACAAGTTTAAGATGAAAGCGATTAACTTTATCCGACCCCATTGCGGGCTCAGTGACGTAAAAAAGGACCGTTCCGCTATCCGACATGTTGTAAGAGGCGAAAAGTGAAGGCAACTTGCTTGCCATCGGCTACGTACATATTTTGTGGAGGAGTAAATTCTGGTAGTTGAGCAGAAGAGAAATCAGATTGTTGCTGTTACAATACATTATTTAGTCCTCACATTTTACCACACAGATGGTCAGAACGGCTCTGATGAATTCGCTAGACAGGCAGTCTTCAGAGGTTACGCTAATGTCAGATTAAATTTAATTAACTTCCAAACTCCTAAACGCCACCGTTCTGATTTAACGAAACATATGCAGTGAAATAGTGAATCCGTATAAAGGACGTATTCTATGAAGAATACAGAGTCATCTTTTGTTCGAGCGCATCATCCCTTGTAACTGTAATATGAAACCACGACAAATCTGTCACCTTTTTAAGTACCCATTAATGTTTCTAAACACACATCTTTTAAAACGTGTGAAGATATTATGCGATATAAATGGATGCAGTGAGACTTGGATTGTGAATATATCAGAACTAAGAGTGACAAGCAAATTAAACGAATCGACAGTCCTCTTAGCAATTAAGTTTGGTCCGACCAGTACTTAACTATGTTAACTTCCGATCAACACTGAAAAAAATTAAGTTCGGTCCGACCATTACTTAATAACTATGTTCGGTCCGACCAATATTTAACTATTAAGTTCGGTCCGACAAGTACTTAATTACTATGTTCGGTCCGACCAACACTTAAGTATTAAGTTCTGTCCGGATCAACACTTACATACTGACGTTCAATTCAAGTTTCTTTCTCTGCAAAGATCAGGGCTGATTTCTGAATATTCCAGTAAACCTTTGCACACCAAATCCCTTTCGATGTTCAGCTGCCAGACGAATGGCTACCACAAACATGGCTGCAAAAGAATACCAATTAGCGTCAGGCTGATACAAGACAGGACTGCACTAAGAACAATTTGAAGAAGTAGAACAGGTAGAAAGCATGACTTTTCATGAGGTCACGAAAATTGTGGAAATCATAACTCGATTAAACTGCCAGTAAATCCTACACCAGCGCATCTAAGTTGGTGTAGGAACCTTCGACAACTTCTGATTGTACCCACAGATGTTGCTAGGGGCCGGATTGAGAAACGTCACCCATATCAAGCCTGCGAAAGCAACAATTAAAAACCAACAGTGACGCAGAAAAGTCGGTTAGTGAATGTAAGAGTGTAACAAATAAAAATTCGACGTTAAAGCGAAATTCCGGTTACATCTATCCCATTAACAGACCCACTAACTACTGGCCCGTGTTCAAAGTGACTGAGTGACACAACAATATGTAAGCAGCGCAAGAAGGAAAAAAATGGTTAGATCCGACCAACCAAGGAGAACCAAACTGCTGAATTCAGTTAAGATGTATACTCAGAAGCGAATAAATAACAATTAATTAAAACAAATTAAAGAATATGTTAGCCTTAGCGATCATATGGGTACTGGAAAAAACCCCAAACCGACACCAACTCCCATATGTCCATTACATTCTCTATTTTCATAAAGATATCTGACTCAGTTTTGCTTTGGAATTTAAGGACAAATGCTGGTGAAATAAGTCTTTAGTTTACAGAACATGACCTCACATTTGTCTACATTAGTAGAGTCTTTAAAAAGAGAACGATGCCTTTAGAGTACAAAATATCCACAACATGCGAACAAGTTTCAAGAAATGCAGACAAGGCCTCGAGAGGAGTTTCATTCATCACCGATAACAACATCTGTTTGCAGCAAAATTAACCCCATTGCTGTATTGTAGACTATATTCTTTCTTGTATCTAAACGCAAAGCTATTCCATTTTTCATGATATATCT